GGAGGATTAATGGTGCAAGGCCTTGAGGAAAAAAATTAAGCTTTAGCCAGAGGTATAAGGATGCTATACAGATTCTTGATTCTACTTTTATCAGCCCAGTCTCCAGCTGTAGCTGTGCGTTTGAAACCCATCAGCCTGGAAGCTGAGCGTGGAGCACACCTGGACTTTCCAACATGACAATGATCCAAAACATATGGCCAAGTCAACCCTTCAGTGGCTGCAGCAGAACACAGTGAAGATTCTGGAGGGACCATCACTGTCTCCTGACCTCAACTTCGTTGAGCCACGAAGAGGATTGGGGAGATCTCAAACATGCAGTTCATGCTAGAAGACCAAAGAAAATACAAGACCTGGAGGCAATACACGATATTAAGTACTAAGGACATGCAAACTTTTGAACAGGACTGTTTTATCTTTTCCTTTATTGCTATAGTTTCTTTAATGATTGTGCTGTGATGCCTAATAGTTTAACTTGAATCACACTACAAATTTAAAAAATGCGTTTTGTCTGATCACTCATGCTTACTTACAAAATGGTCCACATCTTACAAATTCTGCAAGGGGTATGTAAACTTATGAGCACAACTATAAGTACATAGAGATCCTAAATTCTATTGCTCTATTTATTCCCTTGGAAGTATCTGCTTTTTACATTAAGGGATATTGAAGAGGCATTGAGAGGTTACCAAACCGTTGCTTACAATTCTTCAACTTGGAATGTGAATACAAGATCTAATTTAGTTGTACTGTTTCCAGGACTCGGATAAATTTCACTTGGTAGCAGGTGCAAAGCACAATCATCTTCAGAAGAAAACTAATGGCAACTTATTAGGTACTGGGGATATCATCCAATCAATTAATTCAGGGAAGAGCAGTGTTAGGTCTGATATTACAAAACTCCTTAGAAGGGCAAAATCTGGACACTTGTAGCCTGACTGAAGTTACAAACAACCAATGCACCATAACTTTCTAAAGGTTATAGCACAGTAAATTGTATCATTTATTTATTATTTCTTCCTGTATCTTATCCTGTATCTATTCATAGCTCCCACAGAAAAACACAATTTCTCTCTGGGTATGTGTATGTGTGAGTGTGTATATATTGGGGGGGGGGAGAGAGAGAGAGAGAGAGAGAGAGAGAATATCTTGCTTACTAGAAAGAGAACAACAACATACAGAAGAGATAACGTTTTCTGGCAACTCATACCATTTGGCTGCCATAGAATAATGGCCATCCTTTTCTAGGACTGCTGCCCAGCAGATATACAGATCTTTCAGAACTGGATCTTCAGGATGTAATCTAGCTTTGGCAATTACAATGGCTTCTCTGAGACAGAAGAGAGAAAACTACTTTTAAATAAATCACACTATTTAACATTAGTATGCTGAAGCATTGATCATTCACATGAAAACCAAGTTAAATTCAAAATCATTATTGTGGTTATTTCCCCTATAAGATGCTGAGAGAATCAGAAAGGCAGCATCCAACCTCTGCTTGTAAAGACAAATCCATGCCCAACTTATTCTTGCAACAGGTAAATGAGCTGGTACTTCATCATTTAAATTAACAGTTTATGACCTTTAGCTGAACATGTGAGTGAATTGCATCAAAAGAATTGTCTGTGGTAACTGAATCACAATGGCTTATGTATATATGGAGATACTTGCTTGATGAATATACATACATGAATTAGCCCGAGAGCCATACAAAGTGGAAGAATCCTTATTCTCAGTTAGTAAAACTGAGGATTAGAGAATACTAATGACTGAGTCTATTAAATGTGAAAAAAGTAACTGCATCAACTCTTTATAGAACACAACTGCAAGCATTTCTCACATCCTTAGGCTAGAATATGATCATATGCTATCAGCTGCCATTAAAATGTTTCCACCAAAAGACATTAAATACATATCTTTGAATATATATTCCTAGTCACTGATTTACTTTACAACTACATTTTCCTATTTTAAAAAATAATTCCTATTATTCCTTCATTTTACAACCATTGTTACTTGGTTTTGCATTAATGGAAATTTATACAAGAACATATACCTCTATAAGCAGCACTGAATATGGGGACGATGGGATCAAATTATCTAATGTTGATTCCCATATAAAAACAGTTGGAATGAAGAGAAGCATCAGATTGTTAATACAAAACAACTAGTTACACAAACTTTAATGTTAAATAATAGAGACTACAGGAGAAATTAATAACATTAAACATGAGTTTACATTGATATAATCTTTTTACAACACTAGCTCTGCTGTTCTGATTCTTCTGACATACACAAAAGGCTAGAAGACAATCATTTCTTTCTCCAAATAGATTCTCATCTCTATACTAGAACTCATCAAAACAATAGTACTGTAACAACCTGAAAAAATTATGTGACTTCAGTAGTTCCACAGCTTCGTACACTTTATGAAGAGAAAGGAGATGGGAGGCAGCCTTGACATACTGCTCTTGAAAACACAACTGCTTTGCAAAGGCTTCTACAGTACAGGCCCAGGCTTGGTAGCCAGCTGAAGGGAAGAGAGGAACAACAATAAATAATATAACAGGAAAAGAAATGAACACATGATTTATTATTTGTTGCATTTATATCCTATCTTTCTTTAGTTCATACACAGGTGGGATGACTCTTCCCAAATTACAGTTCAGTGAACTCATGAGATATATTTGGCTGGGAGAGAATGACTCCAGTCACCCACTGAGTTCCATGGTCAACTGGAGACTTGAACCTGAATTTCCCCAATCCTAGCCTGACACTACAACTACAACTACTTTTGTCTTGCAGTTTAAAACCAATTTAATAAGATTTTCAAATTATGGAGGGAAAGTACTTTAGAATAATGTATCATTTTTACAATACTGCCTACTATTGGGTGCAAAATAGCAGATTTTTTTCTGTGTTGTCCATACCCATTGGTGAGATGGCCACTAGTTGATCTGTCAGTTCTCCCCTTTCTGCGGCTGATTGAAGAGCACCTCTAAGATCTCCTTTCCATAACATGAGTTGTTGAAATAGCTCGGGATGTCCATTTCCTAAATGACTTTTTCCTGTTGGGTGTAATGCATAATATGCTTTGAACAATGTGTACAGCAGCATCAATGAAAAGCAATGAGAAAATCCATATAAATTTTGCTGTCTACTATTTAGTGCCTCAGTTTAATAATGCTTTTGAATCCAAGTGACTATTTATGTAGTTTCTATTTGCTACGCAATTCTATAAGTTTTAGATTTCTCCTCTGCTTCAGCTCCTTTTGCCATTTCTTAAGTTCTCATTTCCTGACAAAATTAATTTGATACAATATAATATTGCACAGCTTTAATTCCAGAGCTACCCTCTGTAAATATCTAGAAGCTTGACATAACTTACCTGGATATCTACTAAGTCCCTAAAGACTGTTCTGGCTTTCTACAGAATTCTAACAGCAAACACAAAAAATGCTGTTTTGATTTATAAAGCCTTTACAATACATAGGGTAGCTTAGCTTAGATAACTTGCTTCTTTCATTTCAAGTGATTCGCCAGAAGTTCAATTCTATTTTCTGCAACTTACAGCTAAGAAAACTACTTCACTCTCAAGGGCCAACTTTAAATTAGGAAAGGGAGAAGCAGAAGCCCTGCAAGTGGTGAATGGAATAAAAAAAAAATGTGATTTACAAATCATAAGGTAATAATTTTATAGGGATATTTATTTGTTAGATTTATAAATAGATTTAACTATTGTTCAGAAGATCAGAGCAGCATATATACTGCTCCCTCCTCCCATTCTTCCTCACAGTAACAATCCTATCAATAGGTTGGGCTGAGAAAGAATTACTGGTGCAAAGTCACCCAGTGCCTTTCTGTGGTTGAGGATGGACCAGAACCTGAGTCTCCCCAGCGCCAGCCCAACAGCCTAACAATTACAGCAGCCTGGTGCTCAGTGTAGCATAGCTGCCTTTTGAAAAAATAGAACACAATCACTTATCTCAGTGTTGTCCAAACTCGGCCACTTTAAGATGGCTGGGGAATTCTGGGAGTTGAAGTCCACTCATCTTAAAGTGGCCAAGTTTGGACAACACTGACTTATCTAGTCAGAGGTCATTCACCCTTCAGTCTGAATGACTGAAAGATTAACACAGCTATCATCCAAAGGGAAAACACAAAGGAAATTCAGAGTTGTGATTTCAAATATCTGATTACCCACTACAGAAGTCACCAACATTCAGTTAGAAGTATTCAGAAGCAAGCATGCATAATATCCAAAAAGAAAATAAACAATTCTACCTGAATGTGACTTTTAATTCTCTCCATATGTTAAATCAATTATCACCAAAATAACTGAACTTTATGGACACGGAGACCTATATGATGGTGACCTGCTGCCAGGACAAATTTAGCCAACGCTGAGGTGGGTTTAGAGATGGAGGAGAAAGGAAACAAATGAGGGTGAGGGTGTTCTGGGCAACAATAAAACTCTAAAAAGTAACTGAGAATACAGTGAAGATTTCTGAGGCCACAGTGAAATACTCCAGGAACAAGGAGCAGAGACTGGAAGGCGTAAAGAACCTGGAACATCTGGTTAAGCACGTTGTAAGAATGGTATCAATACATAAAGCATACTTCAGGGCAGCAAATAACTTGAAACTAGGTTTTTGTTGGTTTACTGACTTCAACTGTAGCTTAGCATTATATCCGAATAGAAAGTCTGGTTGTGTTTTCTCTGTTTATTAGTAGTATTTTTATTCCCAAGCCTCTAACTAACATTCCAGGAACAAACATAC